AGTACACACGTGTGTTTGATGGTGTTCACACAAACAAAAGCTGCGTTCACATTCTAGATTCAATTTATCAGCTCTTCCTCAGAATGTTTACGAGAACACTCTCTAGGAACCATAAATCGAGTTATTCGAGACTTGTTGGTTCCACTCAAAAAGAGCAGAACATGGATGCAGAAAAAGGACGAATTAAAAAAACTGCACTTTTACGGGTGCTGGAAGAAAAGGAATGAACCTTTTCTTTCTGTTCTTGTTTTAGCTTGTCACACTGAAACATTAAACCTGCAGGTAATGATGTGATCTGGGATCAGAAGCTGGTTTTTCATTCCTAATTAGTTTACCCTAAACAAACAAACACATGCTTTTATTACCATCAGGCTTGTCTGGAAATCAAACAGATGCGTTCTAAAGGAGCTGCAGGTACCGGTACCGCTGCAGTTCCACCATTTGTTTTTTTTATCATGTGATTACTCGTCATGCTGTCACCTGGCTGGAGCGCCAGGATACAGCCAGAGTCCCGTAACTAAAAACAGGAGTTCAAACTAAACAAAACCAAGTATTTGGTCAAGAGTTCGGTCGTTGTGGTTATTTTATTATTGCGTTACTCGAATAAATAATGATTTAGTGATGGTGAAACTTAGAAACGAAGATTGTCCTATAAACTCTTTTTCCCTTTAGTCCGACTGTCAGGATCCTGTCCTTCCTCCGGCCGCCGCAGCCGTCCCAGCATGGCCACACGTCGGCAGCTGGCCTGTAAACGTATCAGGAGCAAAGAAAGGGGATCTGCCGTTCGCTCTTCCTTTCAGCACACATGTCAAGGTGAACTTGGGGGGGTTATCGCCTTAAATAACCACCCTCACTACCCCGGGAGCCCCCCACCCTCAGTCAGCGGCACAGATTAAAGGAAGGCCCTTGTTTGTCTCAACAACAGAACCATAAACAAACCCTAAACACACACCAGGACTAACCAGGACTAGTCTGGTCTGAGAGAGGCTAACCCAACACAAATCATCTCCATGGTAACATGATAGGAACTCGAGGACGGACTAAACTAGAAAATCCTGAAGACTCGGCTCATGCAGGTCTTTATTAAACTCCTGGTGAATGGATGAAAGGGATCTGCTGGCTGGTGAAGAAACCAGAGGCAGCATCACCAAACTCCAAAGAACAACCTTCCAGAAGGTGAGGTTGTTTAACACTCAAAAGGTCAGAGGTTTTCATCTAGCTTCCACTAAACACAGCTTCCACCAGACACACAACAAAGCCGCAGGCGATGAGGAGCCTGACCTGCAGAAACAAAAGGTCAAATGAAAAAGAAACGAGCAAAACTACAGCAGACATTAAAGAGGAATTTCCTCTACAGACACGATCCGTGTTGATGTTCAGATGAAGCTGATAAACTCCTGCTTTGTACTCGGAGATGAATCACCTGCTGCTGTTTACAGCCGGAGTCCTCAACGGAACAGTGACCTGATGTCATTCAGCTCTGTCTATGTGACCACACACACACACACACACACACACACACACACACACACACACACACACACACACACACACACACACACACACACACACACACACACACACACACACACACACACACACACACACGTAAATACACGTGAACACACACACACACATGTAAACACACACACACACACGTAAACACACACACACACATGTAAACACACACACACACACGTAAACACACACACATGTAAACACACACACACACACGTAACCACACACACACACACACGTAAATACACACACGTAAACACACACACGTAACAACACACACACACACACACATATGGTAAATGGTCTGTGTTTGATATAGCGCCTTCTAGAGTCCTGGAAACCCCCCGAGGTGCTTTACAACACAATCAGTCATTCATCCATTCACACGCTGGTGGTGATGAGCTACATTGTAGCCACAGCGGCCCTGGGGCGCTCTGACAGAGGTGAGTCTGCGGTACACTGGCACCACCAGTCCCTCCGGCCACCACCAGTAGGCAAGGTGGGTTGCGAGTCTTGCCCAAGGGCACAATGACAGGTACTTTTAGTCTGAGCCGGTGTGTGACTGGTGTCTGTATCGGGTTCTATTGGCCACAGAGATGGAGCCGCTGCCATAACACACAACTCACACACACCTGGTGTAAACTGGGGATCAGTGTGATCACCGAGGAAACAAACACTGCAGTGACCCAACATCACGAGGGCTTCAGCTAGTTCCAGCAGGACTTGGCCAGCAGGAGGGCTGGTTTTTGTTGGACATGAGAAATACGTCATTTCCTGTCTAAATTCCCTTTGGGTTAAATGAAACGCTGTGCTTGGATCCGAAACATCTCAGTGATCTGAGCGTTTTAACGCAGCCGACCCAAATACCAATATCTTGCAAATACTGACAGCAAGAATTATACAGTGGCATTTATAACAAATAAATGCAAATAAATTGATGTTCACAAAATGTTGCATAACATTTATTTAGTCATGTCAAGGTGCTGTAGGAGAGTCCACTAGCACCGTGTCCTCAGAGAGATTAGTTATCAGCGTGAGGAACTTATTTCTATCTATTTCTATCTTATTTATAAACTATTTACAGGTCCATCAGTTAATGTAATAATTGTCCCAACCACAGCTGCACCCCCCACCCCCCAACCCGGTCTCAGCAATCAGGGCAAGCTGCACGTGTGTTTAGCACGCCGCACGCGCACATTTAGCCGTTTTTAGCGGCTCAGGAGTCCGCAGGTACGGTGTGTGTCACTCACTCTAGTTAATCCAACAGCAAGCCGGCTCTGAGAGCCGTTTCTTTAGCGACTGACACTTCACTACATCATTCCCTTTCCTAATGTCCTGAAGAACGGTCCGGAGCGCAGGCGGAATGTTTAGCTAACCTGCAGGAAATGTTGACGACAGTTATCCAGAAAGTAGCTAAGGGTTACCAGAGATGTTTCTGAGGTGTTCGCTAGGTACTTTTAAGATTTAAAAAGTCAAGAAGGGGGTCTGAAAAGCTGTTAGAAATAGCGTCAAAGTCGCTAAGTTGGCAACACTGTGTGGGAGGAGCGCTTCATTTGGAACTCAGGGCAGCGTAAGTGGGAGGAGCAAATAATCGGCTTGTTTTGTTTTTATAATTGTTCAAAACTCAGATCGTAATTGGGATTAAAATTGGATTAATTGAGCAGCCCTACTTAAAATGACTTTAGCCATCGTCGACCTTCAGCGCTGACCACTTCTCCCACCACACTCACAGAAAGCAGCGCTGCTACAACGCCGTTCCACTGGAATGCAAGTAAAGGTTTTTCTGTGCGTCTGTGAAATCCCACAGATCAACCGGCTTATGTACAAAGAATATTTAAGGACCTTTGCATTGGCCATATAAGGCAGACAGTGGGTGTGCAGGAGGTGGGACGTGACTGGAAAACACCTGAGCACATTTCTGAGCTTAGGCAGTTTTAGTGAGAACTCTAGTTTCACGACGAGGCCCCTGACTTTACTCCCAAAATCTGCTCTGATCTCACTGACCCCTAAGCCATTCTGAGCTCCGACCGGTCCATCAGCTGATTGCAAACAAACAACGTTCTCAGCTGGTGACTCGCCTCCATCCTCTCCCGTTCCTCCAGAATCACAGTCATCCATCTCTGCAATAAACCTTAGGAGGTGATTGGAATTAAGAAATCGAAACCTTTGTGCTTTACACATCAACACGACCATTAAGAACACAAAAGAAATGGCGATGGGATTTTAGAAGGTTTATTTAGACGCTAGTGATGACGCAGCGCTCCCTCTCTGCCGTGTTTTCTGCAGGCGTCAGGAGTCGTGAACATGCAGCAACTCCGGCCCGTAAAGCATCGCAGGCATGTCAGCCATGTGGACTGGGCCGGCCAGAGCTGAGTGACAGGGACCAGGTGGGTACAGGGAGGGCGCTCTGCAGCCATCTGTGTTTAGACATATCCCACAATGCATTGCAGCACAAGGGCCACTCACAACTTGACGAGCTTTTCATTAGGAGCCACAAATCAGAGTAAGCAGGAAGTTTACGGTTTAACCGGTCGTGTTAAAACCCATCTGAACAGGATGAGGACACACACACACACACACACACACACACACACACACACACACACACACACACACACACACACACACACACACACACACACACACACACACACACACACACACACACACACACACACACACAGCTGTATCCCAACAGGGATGCAGGAGGTCCCAGCTTCTCTCATCCCTCACAAAGAATTGGTTCCATTTAAACAAACCGGTTCTGGGCTGGTTCTATCAGCTACTGGACTCAGAAAAGTCTCAATGAGCTGTGAAGCACCATCTGGTTCCTGGAGATGAAATGTCTCCACACCTTCAACAGCTGGAGAAACTGGGAGCTCAGCCCACAGACACTTAGCACCATGTGGGAACACTAGCATCCTACTGACAAGAACCAGCAGAACACCCCCCACGGGGGTCACATCGGGGCCTCTACGGGAACCTGGCATCAGCTGGTAAACTACAGCCAGCTACCAGCAGATCAGACGCTTTTACCACAGCTCTGATGGATATAATTTATCTCTGTGGTTCCCTGAACGGACTGAAGGATGACCTCCTCTTGGTTGTTTTTGACCGTGATGATTTTACACAACCTGCTGGTAAAATCAGACATGGTGGCTAACTGTTCAGACGACTGTAGTGAAGATCCCACCCAAAAGCTCCTCTTCATGTTGTCTCATTCATGATTTAAATAGAAAAACGAATCCGTGAACAGAACAACAAACCTGCTCATTTAGCTCGGGTAGAAATGTGGTTAAAAGCAGAACTTTTACACCTGGACTCCTCTTCTCCTCTGTAGCTGGAGCAGGAACACACGCAGACACACCCTTTTGTCTAACCGCTGACTTAATTACCACCATCTGTGTGTGTGTGTGTGGGGGGGGGTGGGATGCAGCCAGGAAACAGGTGTCTTCAGACACCAAAGGGAATACTCAGACAGTGTCAGCATTTCAGCTAAAGACTATTTTTAGTGTTATAAATCCACCGAGCTAAACTCAAACAAATGCAGTCATTAAACTAAAATGACGGGTGGACTTGGAGCTGCCGCCGGGGCCCTGCATCAGTGGGATCAGCCAGAATGGAGCAGGGAGAGATGGCCGAGAAACATAAATGACATCTTAGCACTGCAGCCACGCAGCAAGAGGGTTGCAGGTTCAAATCCCCGTGCATGCATGATGCCAGCTCGCTGAGAGAGTTTCTGAACTAAACTCTGTTCTGTTCGACTCACCAATGGTGATGAAGCTTCTGTTTGTGATAACACTTTTCTCTAAAACGGGACCATTTATTTACAAGGGTTCAGACTTTTTTACACCCAGTCCTGCACACGTGTGCGTGTGAGTGTGTGTGTGTGTGTGTGTGTGTGTGTGTGTGTGTGTGTGTGTGTGTGTGTGTGTGTGTGTGTGTGTGTGTATGCTAGCTGAACACGGGGCTAAGGCTAGCTCACATCCTGTCTCCTCGCTTAAAGCCAGCGTAGAGGTTTTGCTGCTCTAAACCTAGTGTTACATAGAGTCTGCTGTGCGCACACTCGTGCGCGCACACACACACACACACACACACACACACACACACACACACACACACACACACACCTAACAAACATCTAGATCTTCTCTGAGCATGAAAACTCACACTCAGAGTGTGAAAGTGAGACATGGGAAAGGAGGACAGCTGGAGACCCTACCAGGGGGACACAGGCAGCCATGAAGAACGTCTCTTGCCTCCCGGGACTTCGGCAGTCGAGCTGCAAGTTTCTGCAAAGAGAAATGAAATCAATGTTGTAACTGCAGCTGATGTCGGAGCGAAGTTTTCATGGTTTTGACATCAAAGTGTGACAGGTGACCTCAAACAATAAAAGCTCAAATGATTCTAAAAACACCCGGGTATGTTGTGGTGGTGGTTTCTGTTGAAGGCTTCCAACAGGTGCCCACCAGGATGTTTTAGGGCTCTGTCATTCTGAGCACCGCTGTGGGATTCTGGGTAATTCAGTCCCCTCAGAGTGGCTGCTAATCCACCCTGCAATGCAACGGCCTTGCATTAATCTGGGATCCTTAAGAGAAAATGTGCAGCACGCGTCTGGTTTCTCCATGTCCAGTGGATCAGAACAGGTTTAACCCGGTGGATTTAAAGTCGTGCAGGTTAGCCAGATGTTAGAAACCAACAACTGGGTTTACTGGGCGAAGCAATAAATCAGGCCACCACAGTGGTGGTGAGGTCAAGAGGAAAGATGTACTCAAAATTTTAAAAGTTGTTTAAAAAGCTGTAGAAAGAAAAAATGGAAGGTAGATTGTCTAAAAGCGCTGATCAGATATGAACTGAATCATCATGAAAAGGTCCCAAAGGAACCCTGACCCGGAGATCCTCCAGAGCGGACGGAGGATGAAGGCTGCCAAACCAACTCAGAATGAATCATGTGACCTCCAGGCTTCCTGGGGAATCAGTGAGACGTCCTTCCAAAAGAAACCAAGATCGCCTCTTCCCCTTCTGCCCACTTAGGATTCACAAATACTTGGAGGAAATGACGTGGTTGATGCTGGCAGGCCCAGCTCGCAACTGGAAAAGTCTTCAGCCTGAATTATCCAGAGCTGCTGATTCGATCCTCACCACACTCCATTGTCCTGATTCAAGCAACAAAAGGAAATGGCAGATTTTCCAAACTAGATCTTGGACACAGTAGAGAAGAGCCGAGACAACGAGCTGCAGCTAAAGCCACATCAAAGGTCGCAGCAGCAGCGTCTGCCAGCTGCAGAAGTACATACTTCATTCACTGTCACACGCCTTTAAGTCATATTCTCATCTGCATCCTCTTTTAGTACAATGGATCTGCCACCTATGGAAGCTTTTTCCATTCCTAACCTCAAACGTGAAGAGCAGCTAGAATTTTATACAGAGAAACCAGAACAGCAGGAGAATAAAATCCTCTTTTCCATCAGACTCCTGGAATCGTTTAAAATCTGGAAGAAGGAAACGTGAGACTCAACTCTGTTTCTACGAGTTTCGGTCAGGCTCTTGTACTTGAGTGTACTGTTTATACTGGGATGTCTGATTAACACCTGGGACATGTATGCCCCCCCCCCCAACACACACACACACACAAACACACACCTCGCGGTAGCTTGGCTGACAGACCTGCACGGTGCGTGAGGAAACTGGGCTGAAGGACCATATTTTCAGATTTCTGCACCTCGTAGCCCCGCCCCCTTTCAGCCACTCTGTGCGCCACACTTGGCACCGGCCAGCAGAGACCACTTAATGGTTGATTGTGAATGTTACTGGGGCCGTGTTAGGGGTGAAGGAGGGGGAGGTCAGGGGTCAGCCTGTTTTTCGGGGTGCTGTTAAAACGACGGAGGTCATATTCATGGAGGGACGACAGCATTTAACTACATAACAAAAGCCATGTCTAACTGCTGTGGCACCTTCAGGTCACTCCTCTCAGAAACCGACCAGCTTTTTACCGTCTAGAGGACTTTTCCCCCACCCAGGATCATCTCTGAAACACTTTGTTGAACTGGTCTGATGGGATGAGATGGATCATGTCACTGGGAGCCGTGGGTCCAGCTGCTGAGTTTGCATCGTTAGTGAGAAAACTGAGAAAATTAAAAACCTTTTAGCAGTCCGATAGCTAGGCGGCGTGACAGGAAAAAAACATGACTCGAAGCATAACTCCACAAACGTTCTGCTGCTCGCCACATTTGGCTGGAATAATAATAACAACCCTGCTGCTGGAGCGGCCCAGCTTCTCCATAAGAGAGGAAACGGTCGTCATTGAGGGAGACAGGCTGGTGGACTCTGGACAGTGTTGGGTGAAAGGACCACAGACGTCTCCCTCTCTCTCACTTTGTAGAAATGCCACATCTGTGCTTGTGTCCCATTAATAATTACTATTTATCCTCCCAGAGCTAAACAGAGGCAGGCTGCATCGCCCCAGGCCCGTCTTCTCGACCGGGCCCCCCTCAGCCTCAACCCGATCACCCACACCACCGGAGACAGATTGTTCTGATGACATCAGCTCACCATCATTACTTGTCAGCACATTTCTGTTAAACAGCCCAAAAGACTTTAAGCTCTAACAAAGTTCTCATGTTCTCCACAGATCTTCCTGACATTGCTTCAGCTAATGGAGGTTTGGGACTTCCCACCACAGTATCTGAATCAGAACCTGGAGCGTGTCAGCCGTTCTGTTTTATAACTCAGTTTGGTCCAAACTCCAGATGGACAGTCTCACATCTGACGCTGGAGCTCTTTGATAAACATAGGAGGGCATGGCGGACACCATAACTGCTAGATGTCCAGGTCACGGGGCTGCAGCACCAGCCCAAACCATCAAATCTCCACCACCGTGCTGACCACCAGGATCAGCAGTTTGTGTTGATCTTCTGTTTAGTTTTTTCCAAAAGGGGCTGTGGGCAGCAGTCAGGGTGGTTGTGTGCCCCAGTTGCATTTCTAGAACGATGAACTTTGCCTCTACAGCATGTTGCTAATGTATCTTGATACTTCATAACATGTTATGCTCAGATTGTCACTATTATCCCCATTTGGGACGCCACACATGGAGGGGGGGTCATTTTTACACTAATGAAAAAAGAAATCCCATCTCTGCGGCTGTCCCTCAAAGATCAACTTAATTTTGGTTCTAGCCTTGAAAGGCTTGGACACCCATGTCCTAGACATTCAGTTCTGGGCCTCGAGGGCCGGTACCAGCACGTTTTAATGGTTTCTCTGGTAGATTCAGTGGTTGAATCACCTGCAGCAGCTCATCAGGCTCTGCAGAAGCCTGCTAATCACCTGCTGACAGAAATCAGGCTTGTTGAAGCAGAGTTAAAACCAAATCGTGCTGGGTACCGGCCCTCCAGGACCAGAATTTAATAGCCATGTCCTAGATCATCTTCTCAAACTCACATCACACTACTTGTGACCTTGAAGCGTCCAGATGGAGCATCAGGATTAGTACCTTCATCAGAAATCTGCACATCCAGCCCCATACGTGACTGCTTCCCCCCTGGTGGTTAGGGCCAGTTTTACTTCTTTATTACCATTTTATAAATACACACGGTATGGCTGTTACACCTACGCTTGGCAATAAAAAGTTTATTTTGAAACAGATTTGAATTATGTGACACCTAAGGCTTTAAAGGGTGAGACTACCTGAGGCTGGTAGAATCACCGGTGATTCCTGAGCGTTATCGTTCCGACAGAATCTGACCTGAGGATTAGCCTGATAGAATGTCCTCCTGCACTGTTTTAAAATGTTTCACTTCTCAAAAGTGAGGAGCTCCATTTTTGTTTCTGACTTAATCTGTCCAGAGCCATAGATGGAAATTAAAATAGATGGTAGACATTTTCATTTGGATTTCCGCTGAATTTATGCTGGTTTAACTTAATCTGCACAAATTGATTTAGAGTTAATTTTGTTTTATTAACAATTTAAACGTTGATCGTTCCCAGAGTGGGTTCCGGGTTGAGAAGTGTTCCAGACAATGTCTCTGGATGTACCGAGTCCAGATTTGCTTAGGAAATCATTTGAATAAGTTCAGAACTGCACCAGAGTGCTGCTCTGAAATCATGAGAGGGAACGGAGAACCCTCGAGAAAGGTTCGGGACATTTGAGAGACTAAAAGGCTGATTCTGAGGTTTGTTAAGCTTTACGGCTCTGTGACAAACATCTGAGCCAAACCGCTGAAGGTAATACCGGAATCTGACCAACTCTACAAGAATGAAGCTGATATTCTGAGTGGCCCGTTAGTCTGAATCTTCTCTGCAGAGCGTCGGTGTGACGTCAGGAGGAGGGATGGAGTATCAGAAAGCTCAGTGGGATGTCACTTCCTGTTGGTGTAGCTGTGGTCACCTGTAGGATGTGTGGAAGCAGCAGCTGTTAGAGCTTCTCACACATCCACTCAGGAGCAGATGATGAGCGAACCACATGGTTAACCTGCTCAGGGATGGTTCACTTCAGATGCACAGAAATTTAATTTGGAAAACTTTCCCTGACCGGAAGCTCCCAGTGGGAATAAAACATCTAATACGGAATTGGGTCTTCATGTAATCCAAGAACTCGTTGTGAGCAAACGGCAATAAAAGTAAATAACTGAAAATAAAGCCAGAAAAGTGCTGCAGCCCATCATTTGTAATGGTGCAGATTAATCTGTTTAATTCCCACTTTTACTTTTAATATTTTATTACATCATAAAGATTCAAACACGTTTTAAATTCAGTGACATCAATCAATTCAAATCAAAAACTACAAAAGTTTTTGCAGGTGAGAAAATTAATTTTGTTTTTAATCCTTTAGACAGATTTTAAGATTTTTATCTTTTAAATGAGATTTTGAAGTGAAATAAACTTCAGTTCAAATCTTCTAAAGACTGCAGTAATCCCAGTTTAATGGATAATCTAGATTTAATCCCCATATTAATGAAGTCCCGCTGCTCCTTACCTCCTCCAGGATCCGCTCCAGCTGACCCAGGACCAGCGGTTCCACCTGCTCCCGGGACAACATCCAGGCGTCCCGCTGCTGCTCCAGACTCACTATCCGGGACTTCATCTCCGAGCTCCGAACAATCACAAAAACACAAACTCCAAGGCACAGAAGCGACACCGCGAAACAAACCGTCAAACCGGACACGCTCCTCCAGTTCGTCCGCGGTTTAGAAGGTTGTCGGTGCAAATCCACACGAGTCCTTGTCCTGTCCCCATCAGCGGCTCTCCACGTCTGTTCTTCTCCCATTCTGAACATCCAACTGGACTCTAATCCACTCAGAAGCGCTGCAGCCTCTTTGGAGGAGAAACTGTTCTTGGATCTGTCTCCAGACCTCCGTGCGTCACGCGGAAAGCTACAGAACCTCAGGTTAGGAGTCCCTGTGCAGCTCCATCAGTCAGGATGTTCCGGACCAGAAGGACGGGCTGTTGATTCCTCGGTGCTGCGCTCCGTTTGTGCCACTAGTCCTCCTCTCCGTGAGTCCTCCTGCAGGTCTGTGAAACCTGAGACAGCCTCCCTCTCCTCTCCCCTGGACACCCCGGGCCTGTGCGCGCGGCATGCACGCTCCTCCTCTCAAGGCTGGATCCCGAGTCGAATGGCAGTGCCCTGCCTTTGATCCAAGCACTTCACTGCAGATATTTTAGGGGTAAGCCAGGATGCTCTGCTCCAGGTCCAAACCGCTAGAACTCAACTCCTGCCTCAAAACTCTGTATCCCTGTCCTTCAGCACCACCATCCAAGTTCTGCAGGGGTAGGGAATCCTGGTCCAGCAGAGCAGCTATCAGCACGTTTTAGAGGCTTCCCTGCTTCAACACAGTTTATTCACCTGTGCAGCAGCTCATCAGGCTCTGCAGAAGCCTGTTAATCACCTGGGGCCTCATTTATCAAGCTTACGCACAAAACGGGGTTGGAAAACTGCGTAAGCAACTTTCCACGCAAACTTTGGGATTTATGAAAGAAAACTTAGTGGAAAAATGTGCGCAACTTTAAGTTGACTAAGGACCTGGCTTACACACATGCTGGACATGGAGAGCACCTGCAGTGCTGCTGCTGAGAAGATACAATTATGCAATCCTGCAGCATTATCACTTGTACCGCTTCATTTTCACACAGAACAAGACCCCCCACGCGCGCACACACACACACACACACACACACACACACACACACACACACAGCCTGAAGCGCAGAATACAGAATGCAGAATATCAGCAGGGGGGACAGATTGAGACAGAATGTCATGCGTCTGTGACAGTGTGTGTGTCCTGTCACTGTGACCCGATTGATCGTGCACCCGGGCTAGTTGTACAGGGGAGATCTCTCTTTGGGTGACTGGTTAGTGTGTGTGATCATGCGCCCTGGCTACTTGGACAAGGGAGATCTCTGTTTGGGTGGCTGGTTAGTGTGTGTGACTTCCACTCAGGAGTCTGGGGATCGAATCCCTATTGGACCATTTTTTATATCTGCCACAGATCTCTCTGAAGAATTCACACTCCGTGTGCCACTCCGTGGATTTTCTCTTATTTGTTTTGCAAAAGCACTTCCTTTCATTTCTCCACCTCACCCACAAGTACCTCAACTTCTGCTTGTGAAATTGCGCTTCCTTGATCTGCCTTGATCTACGGTCACCATCGTCATTGGCGGAGCGCTGCAACAGCCGGCTTATGAATATGCATGAGGTCCACAAGGCACTCTGCATTGATTATTTATGGCAGTAAGTGGGCGTGGTGAGGGCGGGATGTGACTAAAAAGCAGCTGAGAAACATTCTCATTGGTCTCCGATTCATGAAGCGGAGATTGTGTGCAGCTGTGTGTACTCCATGTTTATAGATCACAAACCTGCTTGGCGTAAGTATATGTGTTTTGCTGAGCTTAAGTACGATTTTAGTGAGGATTCTACGCAATGTTTGATAAATGAGACCCCTGCAGATTAAAATCAGCTGTGTTTAAGTGGAAACCTCCAACTTCTGTATAGCAACTCTCCTGGACCAGGGTTCCCTACCTGTTCTAGAGGTTTCTCTCCTCTAAACACACCTGGGGTATCATTTATCAAACATTGTTCATTGGGTTCTTTATAGGTTTAAAAGGACAAATTTTAACTTTAACCTGTACTGTGTGGACATGTTTTACACTGTACGCATGGTGTGGATTAGTTTAGGTTAGGCGTCGGAAGAGAACCCCATTGGTTACGGTTATGGTTAGGGTTAGGAAGTCATTAAAATGAATGGAAGTCAATGGAGGTCCACACAAACATATAAATGTGTGTGTGTGTGTGTGTGTGTGTGTGTGTGTGTGTGTGTGTGTGTGTGTGTGTGTGTGTGTGTGTGTGTGTATTCCTCAAGTAAAATAAACAGAAAACGATTCACCGGTGAGTCTGTGTGAAACTACGCTCACCCATCAGCTTGAACCCCCCCACATACACACACACATACACACACACATCTGATACTTAAACAGAAACGTTTCCTGGCTTTAGGAAACGTTGACAATGACAAACCTGCAGCTGCCTGGACCCACCAGACTACCCTGTGGAGGATGGTTTCTCTGCGGGTAGAAATGATCCAGTTTACTCTGGTCTCATCTGAACCATGCAAACGCCGAGTTAAAGTCAAAATAAGTAAATAATCTCAGTCCATGACCTATGACCTTCTCCAGATTCTAAAACAAATAGAGCGAGGAAAACCTCCATGCTGCTCAGGCCGGTGGGTTCTCCCCTCCAGCTAGACTCCTTTTACCAGTTTGGTTCCACTCCTTCTGGGTTTGCTTCTGCTGGCTTTGACTCAGGATGGACTGGACTCAAGAGCAGAGATAATCGTTTATCTGGCTAAAAGGTTTATAAACTTCCATCCATCTTCTGAATCTGGTGGAGTTTGGAGAGAGAAAGCCTGTGCATGGATGGTGAGAGCCTCCACTCAGACCCAAAGTTCTGATATTCAGTGAAAACTGACATTATGTTCAGAGGGGAGCGGTCACAGCTCAGTGGTTTAGTGGTTCTGATCCCACGCTCAGCCGTGTGTCAGAGCAGAGATCTGGTGCACACGTCCGTTTGTGTGCTGCACTCTCAGATCTTCTGTTTTTTTAGAAGTTCCACTAAGGAAGTGAATGTTTGCGCTCCTATTAAAATAACTTTTCTGCCCTATCGCACACAGACAAAATAAAACAATCATGCAGAGGCACACGGTGGAGAAAGGACTACAAAGATGGCTGAAGGCCACTCAACCCACGGTGGTGGGCGGTATTTAAAAACAGCATGTCAGCTGACCAAACAGGTGAAACACATTTCAGAAAGCACAGGCATCAACAACCAAAGCGAAGCAGAAAGGATGTGTTTGTGTGTGGTTTAATCTGGTGTGTGTTAATGACCTGTAGTCAGAGGAAGAGGACTCCCTCAGCTGTCAGACACATCTCAGGTGTTTGGTCAGGACTCCATGTGTGGCGAGCAATTTCGGTACCAACATCTGGTCTCAAGATTGTCAAAAATACTCTAATCATGGGATTATTTCCCATTAAAATGATCTCATCCTGTCACAACAGCTGTGATGAAGTTTAAATGCGACTTCATGACCTTCACGCCTCCACTCATCATCTCCATCACATTCACGTCGTCTCTCTGGAGACACAGAGACCGATCTCTCATCATCAAGATGATTATCAGTAGAAATTTATTTACTTGTAATGATTTCGTTGGGGATTGTCCTTTTGGGGCCAAATGGACCCACCAGCACCTGCGGGGACCAGAGTCCAGGTGGGTGAGGAGCAGTAAGCAGTAGCAGGTGGACTGTGCAGAAGATCAGAAGGATGACCCGAAACGTTCAGAGAAATACTTTAAGCTGAAAACACAGATAACAATGGTTGGTTTATTGGACGCACTCCAGTCTTACCAACAGGCTCGTGCAGTTTTCTGCTCTGAAGCCAGACCTTATTCATGGCCGCATGTCTGGCCCGGGGGCCTATGGGAGACGGGGATCAGGGCCTACTGACTCCTGGTGTTGTTATGTCGTTTTTGGAGAGAGGAACATTACCTCGCTGCCCAGAAAAGAGCTGGGGCTAGTCGGAAGTTGGTCTCACCTCCACCGCTTTCACACCAGAGCTCAACCCCTGGAGAGGGGCTAGAACATCTGCTCTGGAGTTTCCCAGAAAGAGAGGCATCAGGAGGTCTTCACGATGAGACACTCCAAGCTGCAGGTCTCATTGAGTCTCATGAGGAACGTCTTTCACGGTCTGGATCTGAACTGTGTTGTCTGAGCATGAGGTGGTCCATAGATTTATTGGTACCAACCAACCTTGAACCAAATGCATGGATATACTTTAGAGAAGCCAAAGAGAAGGACCTTTACTTGAACCCATGTTGACCCAGGCCAGGGGATGGAATCTCCTCCATCCAGTCACCATGACCTCCACTCAGGAGACTGAAGACTCAGAGACACATGAGTCCTTTAGCCTGGCAGTCAGAAAGCTGCTGGATGTGACTCACCCTGAGAGGTGGGAGGTGGACAGCTGGAGGTAGAGCATCAACTCCTGGAAGAGGTGTTTCTGTTATGGTTGACGATCCTCCAGAAGGTGAAAGGAGGGACTGAAACACCAGGCAGACAAGGGAGTAGTCCTAGTAGAGAGAGTGTGTTTAATGTTGAGATGTTGCTACGCTAATTCTCTCTGGGAAGATGTTAGAAAGGAGCTTCTGACCACTCATGAACCTCGGACTCTAATGGAGCAGAGCAGGGTCCATGCAGGTCCTGGAGAAACAAATCAAATTTGTTCATGTTGGATTTTCTAGTCCACATGTTATCCAGATAAGACCTCATAGTGTGGTTTAGCACATGTTAGCTAGCCTACAAGCCTTTCTGCAGGTGGTGTGGACAAGGAGACAAACTGTCCAGCACAGTCCAAAGTCTTCAATAGGAAACAGTAAACATCTACAGAAGTCATGGGCGTTTTTTCCTCCTTTTAGCTAAACTTAAACCTGCAGATGAGGCTCAGGAGCCTCCCGTCAGAAGGTTCGGAGGTTTACCGACAACATGTGGAACAGCTGGAGCAGCTTCAAAGCACCGCTGGGTGGATACATATGCATAAATGTGGCTTTCATTTAGAGAAAAACATTCCTGTTTACTTTCTGTTGCAGGTAAACAGCTTAAAGTAAACTTCACCTCTTCCTCCAACCTGAATCTTCAAGAGCAAAACTTTGATTTTTTCCAACAGTTAAAGCAGAGGAATGTCGTCACTATCTCGAACAACAAGCCAGAACATGACATGTGGTCTCTGTCCTCACCCTAGAAGGTTTCTGTGGTTTTGTCACACTTCTATGATTAGTAGATAGCTCCATCCTTCATGTTTTTCTTTTTTTTTTTTAGCTAATAAGGCACAGCCAACATCCTCATCACTAAAATTACAGGCTCTCCTGTTCTGTCCAGACCAATCAGCTTGCCGAGAGCTGGACACGAGTCCCACAAGTCTTTTTCCCGTAGAAATTAGCTCCAAACACACGCGGGCAGTTCCACAGCCTCCCCAGGAAACACACAGGAACACAACTCCCACGATACCGTCTCACTTCTGTTGTCTTTGATTCTTCTGTTTAAGGTGACGTCATGTTCAGGAGAAGTTTT